AACAAATTCGCTTCGGCGCAATGACATACTTGACTTTGTCTTACATACACAAGGTACAAAAAGACGCAAGATATTTCAATGATTTAAGCTATTACTGCACAAATGTCGACACTCCAATTGTTTAGTTACTATTGTTAAGTTTTCATTTAAAATAGTATAAAAATTCAAAGTCAAGAGTAAGTTTCCTAAGGTTCTATTAATTCAGAAAGTGCATAGGATTTGTGCAGCATCTTTCTGAATTTAAAGAATATTCTCCTTAATATTATATATTATTCATTTTAAATTAAATAGGAGATGCCCATATTGTTTTGTTGTTTTGTTTATGTGTTTTATTACTTTGAATGATAAAGAACATCCATCGTAATAATGTGCATTTGCACTTGTATACTGCGGGCACCAAGTATGCATAAGAAAAATCAGTTTACACTAACTTTCTCTGTGCATAAAATATACAACTTTTGCAATTTTATTAGCTCATTTGCATAGAAACGCCACCTATGTTTAGTCTAAACTCACTTGCGTATATCAATACATAATGCAAAACTTAGTGTAACTTAAGAAAAAGCATATCTTAGATCTGGCATCTTAGATAAGGGAGAGGTAACTTTTCAATGTTGGAAACTCTTACCTCTGTACGTAATCTATTGGCACATGGTGTATACTCTGCTTTTAAAAGATCCTTTTGTGAGTCTCAGTATTGCCTGAAAATAAAATATCATGTAGGATTAAAATAAGTTTCCCCAAGCTTTTGTCTCTTCGTAAGATCAATTGAAGTATTTAAGCATTATGTTCGGTTATTTTTATATTGAAACTATTGCATTATTCCAAATATATTTTAACAAAAGGTATAATTCCAGATGTTAAGTAAATTAGCATTTTAGAGATATTGATGAATTACGATTGAACACATATGAATGATAAAATCGTATAACAGAATTAATATAAGTGTATGTAATATTAATGAAAATACTGTATGAAAGGTAAATCCAAAGTACTAATTCAAAGATAGAAAATAAACTACCCAGTCTAATAAAAAGGAAAAGTCTGGGCTTTTACCTGGGTCAGTTCTTCAGAGTAAAGGGTATAATCTTCGTCATCCATGCTTTGTGTTTTGAAAAGATTATGACAAAGCTGATTCCTGTACTTGCGGATTCTTTCAATGTCGTCACCCTGTGTTTTCTGTCCAATCGTCGGCTCTTTTCCCCAACCATTAGTTGGCGGTGGAATGTTGCTTCCAAAATTTCTCAATAATTTGTACATGATTGGGACATCAAAGGAAGAGGAATCTACAACTGACCCGGAAGCTGTGATGTAACAGGAGGATGAGTATTAATAATGTTTAGGATATTATAAAAACATTAAAATATCATTCGGTTTAGTCATATCTTAAGGAAAAACTTCATTTCATTTTGTTTTTTTCTTTATTTTATTTTAAAGGTATATGTTTGTCACAAATTATTACCAGGATAAACAATCCTAACTTCAACAGCTGTGAATCTGAAGGGCCCATTACAAAGAGATTCCTTGTTGTCCTTGAGGCATTTTTGTAAATCATGAGGTGAAAAAATGGAATCAAAATACACCTGCATTGCATCTCTTCCCAGTGTTATAAGCTTTGTAAGCTTCTCCTCATTTGCCAATGGAACTGCAACAAACCAAAGTCAATTTAACATTTAAATTAAATAATTTTGCAAATTATAATTTTCAAATTATGTAAATATTTGATAAGAAATGTGTCTGTATATTTACAAAAAATCATATACCGTAAATCTTGAAATTTTTGTTGAAGATAAATTTTCAGCAAATTTGCGAGTTCTTTGAATTCGCAAAAAATATTTTTCTTAAAAATAATTCAACAATAAGAAAATGTAAATAAAGTAGTGGTCATTCGCAAAAATTTGAAGCGTAAAAATTAATCAACAGCATATTGACCCAGATTCGCGAAATAAAATCGAAGAAAAAATTTCCAAATTTACGGTAGATGAGTTGCTTACCTTTTGCAGATTTAGCACAGGAAACAGATGGCGCGTCCTTAGATTTAAAATGACAAATGTTAAAATCATACATGACAAATGAAAGTTGTTATTTACAGATTTGTTTCAATATTAAAGAATTAATGTAAATACATTGCATAGAAACTTTAGAAATATATAAATTAAAAAAATCTTCTTAAAACTTTGTAGCTAATTTCTGATATGATCTTTTTTGTTTACCGGGTAGTTCACTTACGATTCTCCAGAATTTTGTCAGATCGTTTTCGTTTATCATATGTTTTCCTGTAAATCCATGTCTTGGACATAATATTTGACCTTTCCCAGATATTTCGTCTTCATATACATAGCACCCCACATTGTCGCAAAGAACATCTTGATGTGAACACTGAAATGCAACCCTATATGCAACTTTTTTGTGAAATGTGGTTGTTAAGTATCCAAGTCTATTTTCAAGAGTCTCCTTAATATTTCCGGCAATATTAGCATCAATAGGTGCGTTTTGTGGTCTCAAAATCTGGACTTGAATTGCAGTTTGCGTCACTACCAAGGCAATTAGGTGGTCTTTGTATACAAAAATCGCTATGTTTTTATACAAGCCTGGTATACTTTCATCTTCTACCACCTCCCACTCTGTTCCCACAATGCAGGCAACTATCAATCGGCAGTAAAAGAAGAACGGTAAAAACTGGAAATGAAGCACCAATACAGATGACTTTGTTTCCATTCCTCGTAAGGCTATCTGTTCCTTTCTACCGAAGTCTCTTTTGTTCATACATGGGACGTAGTGTTTTACTTCCCCCATCGCCAGTAATCCTAGTCTTTGCATATATTGCAAAATGGTCGGCCTTTCCCAAAAGTCTATGGATAAGCTCTCCCAAATTCGACTAAGGAAATTGTCCATGAGATACCCAGTCCTGTGGAAGTACTGCCAGTCTTTGTCTGTTTCAGCTAAATCTCGGACATGATTTTTGTCTGATATGATGAATTTAAATTTATCAACAAACCACTGGACGTCAACAATTATAGTATTTGAGAGGTTCTCCTCCTCAAAGTGCAGAAGCAATCCAATGTCGTGGAAAAAGCATAGTGCATCCTCCATTTTTAAACTTTCATCTTTCTTAGCCTTCCAGTATTTCTCTTTGAGATCTTCGATAGAAACGGTTTTTTCTGAACCTCTCATTGTGATTAGAGCCAGTTCAATTATAGACCATTCTTTAGGAATATTTTCTTTCCATCTTCTGTCTTTGGCAATAGAAACTATGCAGTTTTCTAATTCAGATAAAACTTCCAAATTTTCACCTTTGTCACAAGGAAAGCTGACAAAGAAACACCTCTCATATTTTAAATGTTTCTTAAGATTCGAATCTGTTGGTAGCAAATCCAAGAGCTGTCCATAAAATCCGTCTTTTTCCTATAAAAAAAATAATACATACATTATATTTACAATACAGTATACAAAAAACACTAAAAACCAACAACACTGCATATCCTAAGTGTGGGATCTACAAAGTAGATACAAGGTCACGGATGGAAATTTATATAAAGCTTTTAATTAACCAACAACACAAACAATAAAAATTGTCTAATTCGGGACGCCCTGTCCCTTCTTCAGGTCAAAGAAAAAAGTTACCGTATATACTCGCCTATAAGTCGGTCCGCCTATAAGTCGGTTGTATTTAATAAGCTTAAAAATCAGAGGGACTGAATTCATATAAAACCATTCATTTTATAGCTCGCCTATAAGTCGGACATAGAGTTTTGGACCTGAAATTAACTCCCGAAAATCCGACTTATAGGCGAGTATATACGGTAAGATATACAGTATATAAATATACATTTGTATTAATAATCAAAAAAGAGTTTGTTGAGTCAGCACCCATAGAAATATCTTTGCCCCTACAAAAGTCAAATTTTGAAAAATTCTTAAAATGTGCTGAGTTCTATAAATTGTGAAAGAAACATAAATTGACAGAATATATTATAGTGTCAAAGTAGTTTATTGACAATTTTTGTTTTATGACGTCACAAACTAGTCCGCTTTATATTATTTTTTAGAAGGAGGAAAAAATAGACAAAATTTCAACAATTTTAGCTGTAGAGTTAATAGAGCGCAAATTTGCTCAGGAACAATATTTTCATATTATATTGATATTATCATTCTACACATTATATCAAAATATTGAGTCTGATCAGACCTGCACTCGGTGATTTTTACTCAAAATATCAACTTAATATTTACATTCTTCTGCAGAAATCATGGGAATTTAAATTTACGTCATTTTTGTGACGTCATTTCAAACATATGACGCCATTGCTTATGAATATTAAGTGCTTTGAAGTCAGCATATACCACCCTGTTTAGGAACATAATAAAATATTTCTCTGTCAAAGTTTGATTTTTAGGGCCAATATTGGTTATTACCGAATAAAGTTCTTTTAAATCTTTGAACATAAAAATTATTCTAAGCAGCACTTCCAATCTGTTACAAAACGCATGGTTTTAATACTGGCAAACAATGTGGTAAAATTATCTGGGGTAGTTTTTAAGGCTTATGTTTTTGTAAAGAATGACACATATGGAAACTGAACTTGGTTGGCAAATAATAATTGTCTTCATTTAAATATATAATTGGAAAAAAATAGATCAGAATCACCGAAAAAACCTATGGTTTCCAGTTCTATTTACATGACGTTTTGAAAAAAAAACTACGATTAAATGTCACTAGTCGTATATGAAAAAAGTAATGACGTAATCAGTCTAAGTACATGTATTCAACCCATGTGGCTAAAATTAAATAAATGAAATTTTTCTGCCACTTTTTTTTCATGTATACTTTTAACTTAAAGTAGACAAATACTTGCACTCATTAACGTAAAGTAAAACCAGAACCACAGTTCTTTTTGCTGAGTTGTGATTTTTGAACTGTATTGGTTTGACTTTTAATTGGCGCTTTAAAAATCCGATAACGATTTTGATCAAAGTCAGTTGTAGCAATAAACTTACAAACATTCCTTATAACGTATATTTTAGGATAAGTTAATTTAAAAAAGAAGGCTTGAAATAACTTTCGATTGCCAGAAAGAAGATAAGGTAATAAAGAAATTATATAATCGACATTTCTGTTGATGAGGATATGCCTATAATGTAGACCACGAGTATGCAACATGTTTCAAATCGATGCGACATACAGACTATTGTTGTCGGACAAGTTGAAGTTTACATTGATCATATTTTACAAGAAAAGGAAATACTACGATCTGATAATCTGATTATTTCAGACATTACAATATTTATTTTGAATAAAAATTATAATATTGCATGAATACCCTCCCATTCGAGCCCTGGAAATCCATAACATTTAACATGCATTCTCTGTAAGCACCAAAAAATTTACTATAGGGCTTGGAAACGACATATCTCCGATTTTGATGAAATTTGCACCACAAGTGCACCTTGGTACAAAACCAGCAAATATGGTGTTAGAAGTTTCCCACGTGCACCCGGTTGCCATGGAGACGGATCCATTGAATTTGGCCATTTTCGGCCATTTTTGACCAAACAAAAACATGAAAATTGTGGAAATATGAATGCATTTTTATCTTTATGTAGTGAACTCAAATATAAATCTTTGTATCATAAGAAAACATCAACTGTTAAAGAATACAGGGCATATAACCAGTTATTCCAGAATTGACCCCACTCTTAGAAAACGGTTCTGCAAAATAGCATAGTTTCTCAAAATGTGAAAAATGGAAAATTTGGCATTTTTTGAGAAATTTAAGGTTAAATAAAAAAAATTGTCTACGGAAATTTTTCAAATCATATGCATGTCGTCAAACGTCAGTATTAGTAGTGTCCCCTCATGAAAAAATTGGAGTGGGATCTCAATGCTATTTTTAGTAACATGTATCTAAAAATAGACATATTTCAGAAAAATCCAAAAAATGAAATTTGGGCAGAGTTTAAGATGCCATTGCTAGGTAATTATGAAATATACTGTAAAAGTCAATATGCTAATGTCAGAGACTGGACACCAATAACTACCATGCATATTATTTTCAGGGATTTCCGTTTTCTATTTATAGCTTCAAATGCCTAAATATAGACATGTCTCATAAAATGATGAAAAATGTCAATTTTCCATCATTTTGAAGCTCCACTGAATCATAAATAATAAAAATATGGATCTCTCCAGTATGTCATCAATAAGAACAAGGAATAGTATAATATCTCACAAATTATTGAGGACAGGCTCTCATCTCTATAAATAGTACAAATGTCTAAAAATAGATACATATGAAATTAACTGTTTAATGTTGATTTTCCACCAATTCTCAAATTAGAGATGGGAAATTTACCGACTTACTGTCATTAAATGTAACTGATATTATGTGACTGACAAGAACAAAAGAACATTCAATGGAATGCAGCATGATAAGCAGAGGTTTCCATTTCTATTTATAGTAACACATGTACATGTTTAAAAAGAGACGTGATGCGAAATATCGGGAAAATGTCGTTTTTTGTACTTTTTTCTAAAATTTTGGATGAATAATTGCTGACTATCTGTTTTTAACTGCTATTGGCATATGGTGACCAACAAGTAAAAGAAAGTCTTATATCAAATACAAAATGAGAAGCAGTGGTTTCCATTTCTATTTATAGTAACATGAGTTTAGAAATAGACGAACTGCAAAATATCGGGAAAATGTAGTTTTTTTCTACTTTTTTTCTCACATTTTGGATGAACAATTGCAGACTATATGTTTTTAACTGCTATTGGAATATGGTGACCAACAAGTAAAAGAAAGCATATACGAAATACAGAATGAGAAGCAGAGGTTTCCATTTCTATTTATAGTAACACATGTTTGAAAATAGACGTACTGTAAACTATCGGAAAAATGTCATTTTTTTGTACTCTTTTCTTACATTTTGGATGAATAATTGCTGACTATCTGTTTTTAACTGCTATTGGCATATAGTGACCAACAAGTAAAAGAAAGCATTATATCAAAAAACAGAATGAGAAGCAGAGGTTTCCATTTCTATTTATAGTAACATGTGTTTAAAAAAAGACATACTATAAATTATCGGAAAAATGTCATTTTTGTACTTTTTTCTAAAATTTTGGATGCATAATTGCTGACTATCTGTTTTTAACTGCTATTGGCATATGGTGACCAACAAGTAAAAGAAAGCCTTATATCAAATACAGAATGAGAAGCAGAGGTTTCCATTTCTATTTATAGTAACATGAGTTTAGAAATAGACATACTGTAAATTATCGGGAAAATGTAGTTTTTTTCTACTTTTTTTTCTCACATTTTGGATGAGCAATTGCAGACAATATGTTTTTTACTGCTATTGGCATTCAGTGACCAACAAGTAAAAGAAAGCATATATGAAATACAGAATGAGAAGCATAAGTTTCCATTTCTATTTATAGTAACACATGTTTGGAAATAGACATACTGCAAATTTTTGAGAAAATATAGACTTTTGCATTTTTCTTATCATCAGGAATGGATAATGTGCAGACAAACGGCTTATATTTGTTATTGACAGAAGGTGACTAACGAGCATGAAAAAGCTTTAGCAAAAATGTATAAGAATAATGTGTAAAGGTATTTTTCCATTTCTACCTATACTAACGTATAGTTATAAATAGACATTCAGCAATTAATCAAGAAAATATAGAATCATTCTATTCTCTCAAATTAGGGATAGGAAATTGCAGTCAAACTTTCATTAGCTGTAACTGACATAATGTAACCGACACGTACAAGAGAGCAGTAACCGAAATGCATAATATGGTGGGTTTCCATTTCTATTTATAGTAACACATGTTTTAAAATAAAGGCTCAAGTGAGCTATTATGATCATTTGTGCCTCGTCAGTTGTTGTCGTTCTCATTGTAAACTTTTTATATTTTCATTTTCTTATCAAGAACCATTGGGTTAATTTCAATTTAACTTGCCACAAAGTATCCTTGAATGAAGGAATAAACCTTTTTTCTGTTCGATTTTTCACTAAGCTAATAATTTATATTTCTGTCCAATATTAGTTTGTTTAAACGCCTATTAATAGCAAAGCCATTTCTGTAACTAAAGTTACTCCCCATCCTCTCATAAAGACAAGTTAATTTTTAGTAGTAGTAGTATTTTAAAACGTAACAAGGAATCTTTTTCAAACACTGATACCAATGTATGACAGCTTATTGCCATGAAAATCAAGTCTTTAAAAAGGAGATAAAACTCTAGGGTCATAACAAAATTCGTGTCGGAAGCAAATTAAAAGTGAAGAGGAGGGTCCAAACATGAAATCCTATTTCATGGGAGGGGGATTGAACTTCTTTCAGTACCATTTTTTTTCTTTCAAACACTACCACTTACCCTTATTCGACTACA